AGGTTGCGGGCCCGCTGGGAAGAGAGCGCGAGCGGCGCGGGGGCCCGGCGCGTTCGCGTGGAGATGGCGGGAGTGTGCGGGCGCTCCGAGGCCTGTGTCCGCGGGGATGTGGAAACAGCTACTCGGGGGTTACCGCCAGCGTTGGCGCTTTTTCTCCATGCTCCTAATAAAACCCCCCAAAATAGCTTGCATTTGGCGGCAGTAAAATGGCAGTTTTCCAGAACTTCTAAGCCGTGCCACACTCTGAGGACTTGCTTAGCTTCTTCAGGAACGCTGTTTGCGCTTTAGTTCAGTAAACACTGGGTGATAATGTGTGCTTGTCTTGCAAATAGACTGACAGAGAACTGCTGTGCTCCCAGTGAGCACAGCAGCACTTATGCATGCAGCCTCTGCCATGGTGCTCACAGGCTCTTTAACTTGTAAATTTGGGCTCCAGGACCCAATATCCTGATACAGTTTGAGAATGGATCTGGGGGGGAGGGTAGTATTTTCTTCTGTCTTGCTGGAACTGGGAGAGGGGGGGAGGGGAGTTTGGTCATTCACAGCCAAACATGCGCTTTGTCCATCCTGTCTCATGTCAGCACTTGCTGAAATGAGGTTTCAGTCTGCTGTGTTTACGTGGATGTTTATAGTCTGTTTTTTTGTCTGTTTGTTTTTGTTTTTAGAAAAGGAGAAGCTTGTATCTGAATTCTCATTTCGCTGTCTTATTGGACTTCGTGCAATATGTGTTCTTAACATTCTCCTCACTTGAACTGGTTGCAGTATTGTTTGGTTTCTTTTAGAGTGTCTTCTGGCAACAATCTTCTGTTCATGTAGCAACTCTGATTTCCTTTAAAGAAGTGCGATTGCACAGAGTGATGTCCTTATGCCTGGGAGTTCTGCCTCTCTATTTTTCTCTCTCTTCCTTGCTCTTTGGCAAAAGCTCTTTTCTAAAACTCTATAATCAGATGACTGTAATGCTCTATGTGCAGTAATTTGGGTTAGCTAGAGAGCTGCTCCTGAGGCCATACCTGACAGTCATCTAGTCTGTAAGCACCGAAGTTTTAATAGCAGAGAGTCTGGGAGACTTCCCATTTGGAGGCTGAGCTTGCTGCCTCTTCCCTGCTTTCAAGGTTTATCAAGCAAGTTGTTTATCTGCTTGCAAGGTCAAGCGTGGATCTGCAGGCAGTGATCCCATAACTCTTGTCATCTGAACTCCTTGTAATGTTTCCTCTTTCGTCCTAAGAAGGACAAGCCAAAGATCTTCAGGTACGTTTCTAGGAGGGTTCTGTTGCACTGTTAAAGGATAATCATATTGGTGCTGTGGTGAAGAAATGTGGTTTGTTTGGCTGTTTTTTAGGTGGGAAGTGTGGTGCTGCAGATTTAATTTTTAGGTGCATGTATTGTTTGAAAGCAATTTGGGTTTGACAGATGTTTCTAAACAGATGATTCTCGCCTTTAGAATATAGTTGTAAACAGCGTACAGCCCCCTATGTTTCCTTGTCTTGCATTGCTCACTACTTTCTGTAGACCTGGCTGTGCTTTGCTTCTTCAAATAGGCCAGGATCTGGGATTTTCTTCAAGCAGTGGAGAACTTTGTTGTTCTTGTTAAATTACTCGTGTTAATAAAATCTTTCATTTGATCAGAAGTCACTGCCTTGGTTGTTCTTGGATCATTATTTTCAGTTTTGAAAATATTAAATATAAGCCTTATATATTTCATATGATTCCTCTTTTGTGATAGGCAGAAGAATTCACTAGAATGAATGAGAACAGGCACTTTGATCTTCAAAGTCCACGTAAGTAAGGCTTATATCGTATTCATTTACATCTTTAGTACCAGTTAGACACCATTACGTAACTTACAGCTCATTATTATTATTATTTTGGTTTCAAAGAATGGGTGAATTTTCAACAGTTAAGTTATGTTGATACAACTTAATTATTGTGAATTTCTTGGATTTGTTTAAGCAGTCTTTTCTGCAGATGTTTTATAAATACTAATCTTGGGAATTCAGCTGCCCAGTTGCTCATAGCTGGGTGTGAGATTTAACATTCAAAACTCCCTTAGGTTAAAGCACTATCTCTTTTCTCCTTGCAACTATGGCTGCTCTTGCTGCTAGAGAATTGAAAATACTTCTAGACTTTAAAAAAAAAAAAAAAAACACTGTGTGCTCTAAAAGGAAGATAGATACACAATGTCTGTAGAAGTATGTTGGTGGGATAGAACATGCAGAAATTGGGATATACACAAGGTTTTGGTTGACTCCAAGCTTGTCTCACATCCTTGAATGTTTTTAAACTACTATACATTTTAAAAGTGCTTAAGCCTGTCACTAAGCATCCTAAAACATGATTCTGTATTTTAGCCTGTGTTCTTTGTGGACGGACAGATGATTGCCCTGAAAAATATGGAGAAAAAAGTACCTATGTGGGATACAATCTCACTGTTCATTATTACTGTCTGGTATGTATTTGGTATTGATGCTGGAGCTCATCTGCTTTGCTCAAGGGAAAAAGTAAATGCAATATTTGGTGTTTGGACAAGTAATTACTATTTAGTTCATTGGTGGAAATTTGAAACCGTCCACTTTAACTTGCAGGCCTGAAGGTTGTACCTGTCAAGTACAGCAAACTAAGTAGATAAGTCCTGGTGAGCTTTTATTCAGAGAGGTTAGTTATTTAGGGAGTACTCCCAGCCAATCCCAGGAACTGAGGTATGTCTTAAAAGAAAGCAAGCAATTTGTGTTGGAAAATTCTGCCTCTGTGGAAAAATGTAGAGAAGAGCTTTTATATTTATTCACATTTATCGTTGATTCTTTGATGGTGAGGTATTCTTTGACATTACATAGTACATCATAAAACTATAGATGCAATCCTATTCTTCAGTTTAGTGATATGAGACCTACTGATAACTTACAGCTACGATATGTGAAAATTTAATAAATGTTGGGCGAATCTGTGGTCATAAACTATACCTAAGAACTTTGATTATCACACTTGATGATTTCTGATGTTCACATTTTACTTAAACTATCCTTCAAACTGTAAGCTTTGAATTTTTCTTTAAAACAAAATTACTTTACAAACAAGTTTTGCAAACATTTTTTTCCTCCAATTTGGTTAATAGAGGGTCACAAAGATGATTTTTTTGTGGAAAGAGCTTGGACCATTTAGCCTAGAGAAAAGAAGATTGAGGGAGGGAAATGTTACCAATACATGTAAATATCTGCAGGGAGGATGTAAAGGGGACAGGGCCAGACTCCTCTCAGTGGTGCCTAGTGGTGGGGTGAGAGGCAATGGACACAAAATAGAACATGGGAAGTTCTGTTGCAGCATAAGGAAAAGCTTTCTTACTGTGAGGATGATTAAGCCCTGGCACAGGTCGCCCAGCTAGGTTGTGGAGTCTCCAGGCATGGAAATCTTCAAAAGCTGTCTGCCCTTCCTTGACCAGAGGGCTTGGACTAGGGGTCCCTTCCAACCTCAACCGGTCTGTGATTCTGTTATTCTGTGAAAAATGTATGGAGTACAGCTTCAATTTGGGTCTTTTTGCCCCAATTTTACCTCCTCCCCACTTTTTTAAAAATTTGTTTTTCTTTTGTTTTTAATTGTATGTATCTGTAAATAGGAATAGATTACATGGTCATTTAGTAATGTTATGCTCCAGAGTCCTTAGATACTATAAAGTTCTCAGGAATGTAAATAAGCCATGACAGACTCCAGCAGTGATTTTAATATTACTGTGCTTGGAGCCAGAAAGAGCCTGTTCTACTCAATGGTTAAAGCTATCTTGAAACACTTCTGTTTCTTACATACATGGCACAGGTAGTTTTAGTGCTTTATGTAGTTGAGTTATTTAAAATATTTAATGTTTTATCGTAGTTGATGTCAAGTGGCATTTGGCAACGAGGAAAAGAAGATGAAGGTGTATATGGCTTTTTAATCACAGATATAAGAAAAGAAGTAAATAGAGCTGCAAAACTGGTAAGAATTAAGTCTTTGTTTTACGAAAAAAAAAAAAAAGGAGTAGCTCGTAATTCCTGTCATCTTTAAGTGTTTTTTTTGTTTTCCAGTGGGCAGTGCTGAACACCTATACCAGCACTTGAATTTAACAGTTAAATAACATGTGTATTGGGTTTCTGTGAAGCAGCAAGGGACAGTAAAACAAAAACTATGAAAGTTCCCAATGTTCTTTATAGTGCAGAAAAATGGATGAGAGCAGATTAAATGTGCATATTGCCTCATGACATATGTTCAGTCTCAGACTGAGATGTAGTTGTAGGTGTAATTGAAGTGTAGCTATCAGTACAATATTTTGCATTTCAGGTTACATGTCATGTTACATGCATAAAAAGTAACTCATAATGAAAAATTCTCTAAAATAGGTATATATTTTCAATGTTTGAAATGCAAAATGAAAAAGCAAACAAAAAGCTTTGCAAACAAAGCAAATCTTCATTCCAACTGACTGTCTAACAGTTTGTGTTACTGATATTTCTTGCATGCTTTTTCCTATTTTCTTTGTTTATATTCTTGTAATTGTATCTGGTCTTAATTCTTCTATTTCTTAAAAAAATTTAACAGAAATGTAATATCTGTAAGAAAAAGGGCGCTTCAATTGGATGTGTAGCTCCCAAGTGCAAGCGAAGTTACCATTTTCCTTGTGGGATCCAAAAAGAATGTATCTTCCAGTTCATGGAAGACTTTAGGTAAGTGTTTTTGGGGAGAAGGGGCAATGGTTGCTACTTTCTAACTTTCCTAACAGTGATATCATTTTGTTAAACAAGATATGGTTTGTTTTTCACATGACTTCTTTTTGTATTAAACTGATTTTTTTTTTTTTTAATATTTGAAGTATAAAGGATGTATGGATTGTCATGATGGTCAAACAGTTACATTACATACCAAATATATATAAATGGTGCTTTTAAAGGTATAATTTCATGCCTCTACAAATAGTTAAATTGTCTATAAAACTGTGTGTTCAATCTTGAATGTAACTGCAAAATATTTACGATTTCCCCCATGCCCTGATTTGTGTGTTTCTGTATTTGCTGAAATGGCAAGTAAAAACCTTTTGCTCCTCTCCTTCCTTCCCATGGTCTGGCTGCCTCTCAGCAGGCAAAACAGTCTGTATGCCGTTCCGCTGTGTTTCAAAACATACAACTTTTGGAAGTCCTTATCAGAGACAGATTACAGGAAAAATGGGCTTGATATCATACATAGAGGAGAGGTTATTTTCTTTTACTACCATCTTTGTGGCATTCTGATGGTAGTCAAAATAGCTTTGAGTGCATTTGATAATACATTTTTATTCTCTCTTTTACAAGTTGAGTTTGAAGGGCTGGTACATGGAAGTTTGGGAGGCAGTTGTTTCACTTAGCATAAAAACATGAGTCATAGTTGAGTTAAACATGTAAAAATAATGCATTTTCAAAAGAGCTTTTAAAATTGAACTTAATTTCCCTTTTGTTCTTTTTTTTTACTTTGAAAATGTGCATAGTTTTAAAATTTATCGTGCTACCTACACTTTGCAGAATCAGTGGGCAAACTCAAAATGGCCTTTTAACGTCATTGTCACATATTGAAACGTAGGAAGAACCTGAGATTCTGTGAATAAGAAATACATTATTTGGACCAGAAGAAATATTTGAGGGAATCTAGGTATATGATCTCCACAATGCACCATAAATCAGTTGGTAACATGCTGCTTTCTTACTGCTGTTCTGTTGACTTGATCCATTAGGTACATAAGTAGTTTGCCCTTGTTTGCCTTGTCACTTTGTCCCAAAGTGTTTACTCATGAAAAGCAAATAACAGGATATTAATTTTATCTTATTTTTTTATGATGAAAATTTTTATTAAAAAAATACTATTTTTAGGTCATACTGTTGGGAACATAAACCAGTCCAAAAGTTTTCAGTTAAGGAATCTAGAGAATCCTCGCAGTGTATAATATGCCTGGAATTGGTTGAACACCTTCCACTCTACAGTGTACTAAAAAGTCCTTGCTGTAGAAATGCTTGGTTTCATCGAGAATGCTTGCAGGTAATGCAGGTTCTTTTTTTCTTCTTCTATGCGTCCATATAGATCATATTTTTGTTACTTACTTGAAATAATAGAACAGCTACTTAAAGCTAGGTGAAGTTACTTGGGAATAATTTTGGCAATAGGCATGGAAATAAACTTGCTTAGACAGATAATGTTAAAATTGTGATTTGTAAGGCGGTGCCTCAGAAGAAGGGGATTCTGTCTTCCTGTTTGTGTGTGGAGGGGGGTGTGGGTTTTTTTTTTTTTTCTCCATGTTTTTATATGTGTGATACACCTCATGGCTTTAGTTATTCTCGGGAACTTGAGAAAAAGTCCAATCTAGGCAGCTACTTTCTTCTAGGTCCCAATGTGCAAAATCTAAATGCCAAAAATGTCATTTGTGCATAATCAATGCTTTTTGCTCAAGTCCATCATTGGAAAAAAAAATAGATAGTTCTTGTTATAAATGTAAATTCCCAGATCCGTAGAAGATGTCTGAAAAGGATCATGGTTTTGTTTATGAACCTGATTCTTGGGTGTGAACTGAGTCTCTTATATGCACTAAGGAAACAGAAAATACTCAACATTTGCTTCGAAGTCAAGTAGTTGACTCCAGCTAAAACATCCGTGAATGTAATGCTTAGATAGGGAAGCATTATTTGTTGGTATCTTAAGAGTAATGATAATTCAATAATTGGTTTGGTTTTTGTTTTATCTTTTCCTGGCACAGTATCACGCGTTGAGTGCTGGGGTGTTTTTCTTTAGGTGTTCAGTATGTAATAACAAGGATACATTTCAGAAGGAAATGTTGAGAATGGGCATACACATTCCAGAAAAGTAAGTAATTCGTTTGTAAATAATCCATGTTTCTATGTCCTATGCGTGCACACACACACACACACACACACACACACATATATATGTGTGTGTGTATATATATATATACATATATATATATAGAGAGAGAGAGACTTTGATAAGGTAGGAAATCATTTTTTGTTTATTCTATGCAGTTGCATCTACAAGTGCATTAAACTTCAGCACTATAGTTAGTGGTAGGACTGTTTGCTTTGGTAAGAAGTATCCTATTTCCTCTTGGTTAAACAATCCAGATTGTAGAAGATCAAACTGGACGTCTCAAACACAAAGCACTAAGGTTTTTGAAATGTCATTTTCAATGCAATTATTTAGCCAGGGACACATTTAAAAAATCAGAACACCTTTTAAATAATGATCTATTCACACTAACACAGGAAGTTGATGAGCAGTGTATTTCTTTTCTCTATACTTTTTTTTAATGACCGCCTTTAAATTACGTATCTGAATTTCTGTCCATCCACTGTTACCTTTCCCTGATTACTTATCTATTCAATCTTCTCCCAAGGGATTGTAAGGATGTATCTAATAACACCTTCCAAAATTATAAGATGATTTTACAATAGTTTCTGCTCTTTAGTGGTGCTCAAAATAAGACCAAAAATATTCAGTGATGTTTAACTGTTTATAATTTAATAGCTATCACTCTCCAGAGATTAATTTCCTCTTGAGACAGCCATCCAAGATTTTGGAAAAAAAAACAGTCAAAATACTAGCAATATTATGCCATACTGGAATGGCAAATAATGAGTTGTCTTTCAAAATACTGTTTTTGGTGGTAATTGCATTAGATTGCCAAAATTAATATTCTAGTCTGCTAAAAGAAAGCATAAGATGAGATGGGAAAAACGAACAATAAGATGACGCAAAAATAATAAATGCTTTAATCAAATTACTCATACAATAAAAATTCTGGCAATGTACATCTTAAGGTGGCATTTTCTTTCCTACTTCAGGACTTCCTTGGAGAGCAGGAAATAAAAACACCGTGTAGCTGGTATGGGGATCCAAAGACATAACAAAGGGAGTTTTGCATGTACCTTATTGGTAGCGGGTGGGATTGGGAGAGCAGGGCAGGGGAACACACACCTTCACAGTGATTTCTTAGGATAGATATTATCATGATACCCAGGAATATTGAGGGAAAAAAAAAAAAAAAGCTTTGAGAGTAGTTTGAGGGCTATCTTGTTAAGATAGTTAAAATTATCTTTTGTCTTGCAAGATTATTTTTTCCTAGTTTTCCTTTTTTTTTTTTTTTTTTTCTCATTTTTCTCTCATTTGTCTAGGAGATCAGTGATTGTGTTTGAATGAACATAATTTGATTCCTGTTGCCACATCTTCATGTGGCTAATTATATAATGTGTATGTTGCTGTCAGTGGCATGTTTGAACAGTCAGAACACTGTTGTATTACGTGGTTGTATTACACAGATCTTGCGCATTGTCGTTGTTTATAGGGATGCGTCATGGGAACTTGAAGAGAATGCATATCAAGAGCTACTGCAGTGTTATCAGCACTGCGATGTTAGAAGATGTCTCTGCAAAAAAGGAAGAGACTATAATGAACCTGATAGGTATGACAGTCTGGTTTAAAAAAAAAAAAAAAAATCCATGCCGAGTTACGTATCCCTACATTCGGTAAGACTTCTCAACATCAGGTTTTTAAGCCAAGATACTATTTCCAAATAAAATGTTAATTTGTGATAAGCCAAGAGAACAAGTCCACTATCACTTATCCCTGTTTTCATTTGACATAGAGCTGCAATGGAGTTTGTACATCAACATCACAGAATGGTTCAGGTTGGAGGGGACCTCTGGAGACCTTCTAGTCCTATCCCTACCCTCTGCTCCCCCTTATTTCCCACAGACAGAAATGTTAACTTATTTTTTTGGTACAGATTTGGCCAAGCATCATTGGGTACATTCTTCTTGGTACTTATTTGTCTCAGGATTTAAGATCTGTAGCTTTGGCTTTCAGTGTTTGGACTAGCATCTGTCACATTATTATAATGTGCTTAAGCAAAATGTAATACAACTAGACAAGTAATCTAACAGATATTTAAGTACTGTCATTAATAAGGAATCTTTTTTCAGAATGTGTCAGAATAATCTGCTTATCACTTTACAAAATTTTGCTCTTGGAAATGCTGGAGAGTGGTTAAAATAATCGAATGCTGGAGAGAAGGGATGCTGCTGGTTAGCAGCATGTCGACAAGATGCTAGCTGCAAGTCGTTGTCATTGGGGGCACATGGTGACTTCTAGCTTCTTTCAGTACAAGGTGCTAGAACATGGGTGGCTTTTTTTTACCCCTGTAGCCTGGAATGGTGACTGCATCTTATCTGAAGAAAATTTCGCTTGGTTTTAAAAATATGTCTTTGTTAAGTTTAGAGACTGCATCCGATTTAAATATTCTAATTTTATTAGTATTGGTTTTATGTCTAAATCTAAATACATGAGTCTTTTAATTTTAGTAAATGGGAAATAAAGCGTTGTCAGTGTTGCGGTTCCCGTGGAACTCACCTGGCCTGCTCATCCATGAAATCGTGGGAGCAAAACTGGGAGTGCGTGGAGTGCAGAAGTATCTTTGCAAAATCAGGTAATATTATAAATGTTACAGTGACTTCTTCAAACAGTATATTTTAGTAATGTGTTAAATTCCTAGCGAACTCATTTAATGGTGTGTATTTAATTGTCCAGGGAAATATAGCAAGCAGCAAAAGCGTTCTTTGGCTAACTCTGAGAAGGCAGGTGGGACAACCTGTTTGTTGGAAGAGCCTTCTCCCAAGTGCCCTCGGCCATCATCTGGATCTCAACACGGCTTTCTTCTCCAGTGTGTATATCTTTGTTTTCAAAGTGAAACAGATGACAACATAAAATAATATTTTATCATGAAGGAGGTGATAACTTATTGTGAAGGAAAGCTTACTTGTAATGAGTAGCAAATTGAGTAAAACTTGAGTTTAGTTATTGAAGTTTTGAGAGTGAGCAGTAAGTTTTGTGTAAATTTAATCTAGGCTAAACAAATTCACACTGAATTACATCTAAACAAGCTTTTTGCTGTCAAGTAAAATCACATCTTTTAAAAAGTAATTTAAATATTTAGAGGAAACTTTGAATATACAAATGATGAATCTTCAAGATGAGCTTGCTTACCAGTATTTTTCTGTTAGGTTTAACTTTTTTTTTTTAATTACACAGTAAGTAGAAAACTTACTGTATTGGTCAGGATTTCCATTCCTTAGGTAGGATGCAATTAAATGCAGACCCCAAACCCGTGACATAATGAAAACTCTGAATTACTCTCTCTAAAACTCTTGTTCAGCTACATATAAATGAACATGCAAATAAGATTTAATACCAAACAGAGATGGTAATGTATTTCTGTCTTCAAATATGAAGCATTTATGCATTCTTCAGTTGCAGCTTCTCTTAAATATTTTTTTCACTTGTAGGTCACCAAAGATAATGTGCCAGAGCAACGTGACTCCCTGCTCACGCCTGGAATTTCCAGCATCCAACCGAATGACAATGTCCTTGTCTCCACGGATGGCAAACGGGAGCTTGTCACTGCGGAAAAAGTATTTTATTTTTCTTACATTGAAAAATGCTCTGGCACTTTTATGTCATGTTTTCTACAGGATGTAGCAAAATCATATTGCACCTAAAAATAATAATTTTGTCACTAGAAAAATGGAATAGCTGTTCTTAAGAACTGGAGTCATAAGTTTATAAATGCTTTTGTTTCTAATTGCCAAGGGGATGAGAAGAAATATTGAAACTTTGTTGAAATTTTTGAGGCAGTGAAAAGATCGAAAACCTGGAACTTATAATTTTTTTCTTTCTTTAATTCTGATGAGGGAGTTACTTCTAGTAGACAGTGTTTCTAAACACTTTTTTTGAGAGTTAGAAAATGAACAAATTCAGTTTTGCGTGGGTCCTATTTTTTTGTTTGCTTTTTAAATGCAAACTACAACACTTCACTCAAATTTAGGGATTATTATGACAAAGAAATATTACTGAATAATTGACAGGCCCTGCTAGGGTATTTTAATATGGTTGAAAAACATCTCTTAAACACAAACGTGATGAGGTCTTCCATTTTTCATTTGTTTCACATTATTCAAATGTAGAATGACAGTGCAAGAATTATGTGGGATCTTAGGCAATAGTTCAATTAAGAAAATGGCTATTCTTGTTGCACCAAAGTAATTCTATTTTCTTCCCCTCTGCCCACCCCTCCAATTCTTAGAGTCATTTTAGCATAATTTATTTTCCTAGTACAGCTTTAAAATAAAAAAAAAACTATATGAAATGTTTTATTGGTATATTTTAGATAGCATCTGAAGGTACCAACATGTTCAAGCAATTTTTTTTCCTCATAAAAGAATTTCAGTGTTAGTGTTAAGTGTTTTCAATATAAATTGTTAATCATGAGTCATCAGGAAATATATGCAACTTTCTTGTAGGTGTCTAAGGCAGCAAAGGAGGGAAGTGTCTAATATACTGAAGGAATTAAAGCTGCAAGTTAATACAAAAACTACAAGGCTTAACATCAATACAGAAAATATCTGGAAAAGTGCTTTGAAGGGATTTAGGCAGCGCAGCTTCAGTCCTACAAACGCCATTGAAATAAAGTTCACAGGCTGCAGAAACAGGCTGGAGAGAGAAACCTCTGATGGATCAAAATACCGTTTCTTCAAATTATTAATGCTTAATCTTCAGAACTCATCACTGTTTGAGGGCTCTTCTGTAAAGAATCTGACCCTTGATTCTCAAGGTAAATGCTTTTTTCAAAAACAAATGGATGTAAGTATGTAATTTTAATCACTTTAAGAATTACATTGTGATTGTTAGTTGAAGATTTTAACTCTGAAAGATATAAGCTATTTTTGTAAATCATTTTGCTTTTCATTTTTAATTTTTTATAACAAACATATTTAAACTATCTTTTCTTTAAACATATGTTGGAAAAGTTGATAAGCAATAGAAAAATGTAAGCATACCATTAGTTTTGAAAATTATATATTTATTCTCTGCAAATTCTTTTATTCTGATTCTCTGCTACTTATTTTGTTTTCTTGTATTTATTAAAAAAATATATATATATCTGAAAGCACACTCCCCAGAGATCCAAAGCAAGGATTTTTGAGTTCTTATACCTGAGAATAAAATGTGTATCGGATACATGTCCAATAGGAAGATGTATCTCCTCCTAAATCTCAATATTACTGGAAGAGCTTAATAGCTGCTACTTCCGTTATCAGTAAATATTATCAGGTAAAAATGATCAGTATTGTTTCAGCCAACAGGAGATGGCAAAGTTTTCATATGTTGTTTCTCCTAAAGGGAGAATTAATTGTGTTATGAGATTTTGGTTTACAAATTCATCAGGGTCACACTGGTTTTCTACATGTGCTTTATTTTCTTTGCAGCTCTAAAAGAAAATTTGTATTTTGAAGCTGGCAGAATGATTGCAGTTTCTCTGGTTCATGGTGGCCCATCTCTTGGTTTCTTTTCTAAGACCTTGTTCGATTGTCTTGTCTATGGTCCAGAGAATGTGAAACCAGCTTTGGAAGATGTTGCTGATGTTGGTGTAGCACAAACAATAAAGACGGTACATAAGCTAAACTTACAAGTACATTTTTGGTTTTGAACCTTAAAATATTAGTTTGATAGCTGTAATTTGGAGTATTCGTGGTTTAGAATTTTAAGTCTGTTGAGCAGAATTGCATGAATTGCCTCGGCCATAAATAGCCTTTAAAATCTTTTATCTCATTAGTGATCAGTAATTAAAACTGACTAATGCCACACCTCTTTCCATAGTTTGTTTTGCTTTTGGTGGAAATTCTACAAGTAATATCAGCCATAGACCTTTTGTGTTAGCGTAACTTACGTTACCTGGTAGGATAATCTAGTTCAGCAGTGGGGCTTTTTCACAGCTACCTCTGCTTTTGTATTAAAACTGTTTTGATAGCTATTTTGAATAAAAGGAATGTTTGACTTTTTGTTTGTTTATTTGTTTCTGTTTTATACTTCAAAGAAAGAGCAAAAGTAGTTCAGGTCTATAAAGAATGGCTTATTCAATATAATTTCAGTTAAAATAAACTGCTTTTATATGTACATGCAATAAACATTTATAACTCTTATGTTCTTATGCAGATAAAATATTCAAATAGTCTATCCAGCCTACAGTCAACTGTACATGACTGCTATGAATTTCTTGCTGCTGCTGGGTGTTTAAGACCTGTAACAACTTTGTGTGATAAGAATATGCTGGTGAATGACCTATTGATCTATCATGTTATCAAGAGAATTATTTCACCATTGGAAAGGTTTGTTTTGTTTGTGAAGCTTCAAATTTTCTGGACTTTTCTGAACTAAAATACAAAAGATGTTGCTAAAACTAAATCACACACATTCATACTTATCTGGCATTTAAACCAATGAAAAATAGTTTAACTTTCAATGGATTAAATGGTGATTGTTAATTTAATTCAAGTTAATTTAACTGGAAGAAGAAAACATTTTTCTATCTTTCTGTTCAAGTTTTATCTTTCGTGTCTGGTATCTGATCAGTTGATCTTTTCCTGTAATACATTATTGTATTTTTAACATTACAAAGAGGGGAGGACTGACAGTTGTAAATTGTAATCTCATAAAGACCTTTGCAAAAAAAAAAAAAAAAAGTCTCCATATTTTGTTTTAATTCAGAGTTGCTCAAAGTGAGAATCTTTTAAGTGTTAAAAATATTTTTAGACATTGAATTTTTCAGAGTTCTAGCTATGGAGCTGGTGTGTGCCCCTGTGATAGTGATTGATGCACAGGTGCAGGTTGGCCTGCTTTGCTCCTCTGAAAAGTTTAAAAACAGTGTGTCAACTATTTCCGTTTTTCTCAAATCGGCATTTTCATGAGGTGGTGATGACTTCAGATAGCTAAACAGGTTGCAGTTGTTAACCAATTTATTTGCTGTCTGCCCTGACTTTAATCTGAATTAATCATTGACTCAGTTAAAAAATGAAATTTTTCCAGCAAATATGATTGAATTTATTCTTCATGCATTTATGGTGTTACATTGGACAAATTTGAATTGACTAAATCTCCCAAAGAGCAGGAAGGCTAATTCTTTTTTTTTTTTTTTTTTTATTCCTAGCAATGGACTTGAGAGTAAATAGTGTAATTAGTCTTTCAAGGAAGACCTTTGTAGCATGCTTGACCACTCTATTGCCACTATGGTGAACTAATCACTTAAAAAAAAGAAATGCAATAATTAGCTTTTTTATGCAGAAGATTTAGATATTTTTGGGGTGGGCTTAAAATATGCAAAGGTGAGTAGAGGGAAGATTTGCATTTGATTATCAAGGTCTCAATTCAAGTAAAGAGCAAGTTAGTCTATTTGACCGTTAACGTTGTGTACCATTGATTGTATAAATCCCCACATGGGTTTGTTCTGAATTTTACTGCTTCAGCCTTTTGATAAGGCTTTTGATATTTCTTTTATCTAAGAAATAAAGAGTAGATAGCTTACATAAATTTTTAATTTAGAATATGGTAGTTGAGCACTTTTTCAAATTGGCTCTGCAGTTTATCTAGCATATATAAATATTGATAATAGTTTGAATCTGCACCGCTGTTACTAAAAATGTAGGTAAGTAATATCATACTAACTCGTGCAGACTGCAGAAGACAAGTGAAGTCTGGCTTTTAAGAGACTTAGTCTTGCCTGAAAACAAAGATTTTAGACTGTTTTCTAAAAGGAGCTATTTCTAACAGAAGAGTTCAGTATGTTCTCCCATAAAAACTAATAATAAGCCATGTTCCTCATACAACAGAGAAATGAAAGTTAATTTTTGCATATTGCTTCTCAACTTCCCAAAAGACTCCACAGTGATAACTAGATTGTTAAAATATGAGCTAACTAATCTAAATTAGTTTTCCAAGATGGAAATAAAATGGTCTACATACACCTTACTGACAAGATTTGGACGTTGCAGCACAGATTTAGAAACTTTACCTCATCTTGCAACTTCATAAAACACAGAGTAGAGTTAACTACTTATAATTTAATAATTTTAAATAACTTTTTTTTTTCCTGCTAGTTTTAGGCAAGGTTTGAAAACTCTTGGTGTGCTAGAGAAAATGCAGACACATCCAGATGCATTCTCCAGTATATTTTGTCGTGAACCTGAAAGACTTTCAGCAGAAACTCTTTGTGATCTCTTCACAATCCATTGCTCATCAGATATAAATAAAGTTGAAGGTGCTGATTTTTGGATGGGTTATTTGCAGGATGTGGAAAGTAAGTAACTTATTTTTTTCTTGTGTTGTTTGAGGCGCTTGGGAGCTGGTATATGTGCGGGATTTTCTTTTTTTAGCATTTTGTGTAGTAAATAAATTTTTGAGTTTACTACAGTTTTACTACAGTTCATACTCCTTTTTCCTCTTCCTTCCCTTTCATTCAGAAATGAATTCAAAAATTCAGTTTCAGAAAGTTTCTGAAACTATTGCCCAGTTGTGACCAAATTCGAGCATGGTAAATACCTGAAAGATTGGTACTAGCACTCCTGTCACTTTTAGAAAATAAGTTAGGTGGCAAAAAAAAGAAATCCTTTTAATATCCTTATTTTGTCTCTGCTTATAAGCTCTTTCCTAATGAGTCTCAGAATAAAGAGTGATAGAAAACAGGTTCACTGGTCTCCCTTCTCGCAGAAGAGATTTTTCTATTCATTTTTAGTTTTTCCTGCACTGACTCAGCTGTTTTTTCTGCAGATTCATTCAGCGCGTTGAGGTGGGTTTGGCAGCTTCACTGGCACTTTTTTGAGTTGTGTTTGTTTTGTTTTGCCTCTATTTTTGTATCTATAATGTAGAGTTTAGTTTATGAGTAACGGCAAATGATGAAATAACGATTGTGTTTTATAGGTGGCGAATCTGTAGTGACACTGGAGGACATTCTGCTCTTTGCCACAGGCTGTTCTTCTGTACCACCCATTGGTTTTGATCCTGAACCCACTGTTAAATTTTTGCCTGTAAAGTATCCTGTTGGAAACAAACTCCATAATTGCCTAGAGCTCCCACTAACAAACACATATGAGCAGTTTAAAAACAAAATGGAGTTCACCATCAGAAACACGCTAAAAGTAGAAAGAGAATAAATGTTTTTGTTACTAAACTGGATGCTGGAAGTTTTCAGTTTCTCTGTGGGAATGTCTGCTTGCAATTTGCTGTCGCATTTTCAGACAGCATGCTGTCTGCCTCTTCCCCATGTTCCCCTGAAAACGTGCCAAAAGAGGTAATTGTTCAAGATGGAAATCATTTTGCAAAAGGAAATTGGATGTTTTCTGTTGAATCATCTTCCTGTTTGAAGCTGGCTTCAGGAACCAGCAGTCTTATGCAGCACAGTCCTTAAAAACTGGCCCTCTGGCTGTGACAGATGTGAAATGCTACACATCTCTGTAGCGTTTTGGTTATTTACAAGACCTAAATATGTATATGTATTACATACTTTAGTGACTTATTTATCAAAGTCAAATCAGGTGCGTTTTTAGATAACTGCTGTAGAGCTTTGTCTCTTAAGTAGAATAGTATGCAGTTTTTCTAGTTGTTCCATATATGTTTTCAGTAACGTTTTTATTGGTGATTCGTTTACATTTTGAAGATTCCTTTCCTGGAGAAAGCCTAGACAAAATGATTAAGTGCAAAAACAAAATCTGGTTTTAACTCGTTTTTGCTGTTAAATAAAATCTTTGGCATTTGCACACGTTTCTGCATTCTACTATTTTAAGTGTTAATTTTATATATAGCCAAAACAATAAAAGCTAGTGTAAATCCTTAATATGCAAAAATAAGTGGGTTTTTTTCCCCCCCAAAAAAATGAAAATCATTTAGATGAAAGTTATGCATAAGATGTTGTTGATCGTAGCATGATGCTGTTTCTTGTGGGGAAGTTAGTATTTTTGTAATATGTACTAAAACTTTGATTTGTTAAAGTACAATGTGTCAGCCATCACACTTTTTGTGAGTGCTTGACATTTTTCTAGCTTTTGCTCCAAACTCCTTTTCAACTTTTCATTATGAATAACTTCAACCGCATAAAATACAGGGCAATTCTGCAGTATTGGTATAAACAACATTAAGCTATGAAAAATCAATATGTCTGCAGGTGTCTGGAACAACAAATATGTGGCCTTAATGGATATTCAGTGTTTACCAGTACTAATATTCTTATATGGCAGCACCTTGTACTATGAAACTGTAAGGATATTTAAGTGCACTTTTTTTTTATAACGGATGCAAGACTTGCGAAATTACTTTTTTCTGTATTACTTTCATCATCTATACTATGTCCCAAACAAAAATCAATCTGTATGGATAATCTAGTCATGTTCCTCAAAATACTGAAAAGTAAGTAGTCATCCACTTCTATTGATATCTCTAGTATCTAATTGAAGATACAAGCAGGATTATTTTCATTTTGAATGTCTTGACAGGAAAGCACATCCACATTAAATCATAGAGTGGAGAGGAGCATTAAGAGAAGCACAAACTATTCCCGTTTCAGATTCTGATTTCTTAGTAGGAGCTATCTGCACTATTTTTTTTCTCATTTAAAAAAAAATTTGTATTACTAAATAGTAATTAAGGAGCAACAGAAGAATTGTGGGAAGCAGTAGACATGACTTTCATTATTTGATTCCATGCTATGAAAAAGATGAAAGACAGCTGATAAATATTTGACTTGTATGGTTCGCTTCAATTATGTAGGTATTTTGAAAACTTTCTTCAGCCGTTACAGCTTCTTTATTCTTTCTTAATTTGGGGGAAGGTGCTATTTTTTTCACACCTATTTCTGGAAGAGTGTAGCAATAGTGTGTATAATATTTGCTTTCGAGTTTTAAAGTTTTCATTTTTTTTCCAAAGTTTAAGTTAGACTTCTTTTACATTTCTCAGGAGATTATATTTAGCTACTTTGTAAGCAGTTGCGCTCTCATCAGTGTTTAGATTATTTTAATGAAAGACAAGTTGAGTGGTGTATTTTGTGGTTCTGAGCTAATTCCCTATTAGGGTCCCTTTAAAATAAACTTAAGTCTGTAGAGATCTTCTAATAGGTTTGAAGAAAATGTCATTTGATTTGTTTATAATTTAAGTATTTCTCATTCTGCTTTTTTTCCCCTCCTGTAATACCCCATACTCACCTTTTGAATGTCATACTGCCGATAATTTCTTTATAGCCTTATTTGCCTTTAGAATAGTCTTGTTGTAACAAAGATAACCTGTTGCAGACTGATGGTCATGTCGTTTAAACTAAGCACCAAGGTTCCTGCAGAGAGAGCGCTCTACTTTAAGGTGCAGTGTGAGGGCAGTATTCTCTTTTCTTGCCTAGTTAGAGATCAGTGTCCTCTGTGATGTTATGTCACATTTCTGCACTAACAGAAGTAGCAAGCAGTGTGGGAATAATTTTCAAGAGAAGTTGTTGAATTTTCTGGTACTTGGAATTGCAAGGGGAATGGTTTAGAACTTGGAGCTAAATAAACTGCTTTTTAAGAACTTCAGTGGAGGAAGTTGGTCATGCCTCTATTAGGCTTCACAAAGAACCTTAGATAAAAATAGGGTTCATGCCTTTCACATTGTCTCAGTTTGACATTGGGCCATTACGCATTTATATAAAGGTAGAGCAAACTTATTTTTGTAACTGTAAAATGATCTTTGTTTTTCAAAGTATGCTCTACAGTGCTATTGCAAAAAAATGGAACTGATAAAATAGAACAGCCTTTAATACTGCTTGCAAAGATTTTTCTGGAGCAAAACTTTCTGGAGCTAAGTGTACTAAAATACACTTCCAAGACAAAATTATCTCCTCCTTTCTTTTAGACCTTTGTTTAGCTCTATCCAGACATTCTAAAATGGACCTTGATATATTCAAGTTGTATTCCTAAATGCTTCCGTGGAAGAGATTAACTTGTCTTTTCTGCTCATTTTCAGCATTTATTTATAGATGCCAATCTTAGTTTTGCTTGAATCGTTCATTAAAATTATTATTGCTTTGAATAAGCTTCCAGTCTGTGAAAATACAGAACAGTCAGTCAGGTGACCCAATAGGTAGGTCACCTAAGTGCAATATTCTCAGGTAATGTCCTCATTTTACATAAAGCACAGCTGGAAATTAGGGAAGGTGCTTATTTTGATATCAATATTTCTATAACATGGGAGTAGTAACAGCATTTACAGTAGCTTTTGCGAGTTAGATATATTTTTATAGAAATTACATTTTTATGGTAAGATTTGTCATTAAGGCCGCAAGAGACTATTACAAACCTCTTCTGTTATTGCCTGGCCAAAGAACTTCACCCACTAGTGTTTGCATCAAAACCTAAAATTCCATTTGGAATTGGTGTCTGATAAGCTATTTATTTTTTTTATAGAGCAATCACTTCCTAGTAAACGATACTAGAGTAGTATTAGTATTTTTTTTTAGTATGGTCTCTTTGAGCATATGTAACTTAAGAAAAAAAAATTTAGATCTGTGTTTAAAGGAAAAAAGGGGATAAGAGCCAGGTAAAGCATGCCTGCTAGCAGCCATAGTAACAATGGGAATAAAGTAATTTCAATTTGTACTTTAGAGTTTAAGTGTTGTTGCATTTCTGATTTCATTGTCTTCAGCCTCAAAAACAGAGGACTTAAGGATTTTGAGAGATATATTTAAAATACACAGCAGAGTATAGAGGGGTGTCAAAAATTCTCAACTGCATTCTGCTCGTGTGTTTTGAAAATAGTATCAAAACATAAAAAGTTTTTACTTTTTCTGGTAGAGGAAAATGCAACTCTGGAAGTTAGTAAATGTGCTTGTAAAGTTTATCTTGTTTTAAAATGTTCTACCACGAAGTATAGAATCGTTAAGTTTTATTGACTTAGTTTGCGTTAAGGGAACTGCTACTTGGATAAAATGAAAAATTATCTCTGGATGTGTCAAACATCTCTATTGTGTACAGAAAATGAAGCATTGCCAAAATACTGGTTTGGTGTAAAAACAATGCTCCCCTAAGTAACTTTGTAATGTATAAAAAAAAATGCATGTTTTTAAAGCTATGGTAATTAGAATGTTGTTGTACGAGAAGATATAACTTTGTACGTAAGTTTAGCTCTAAGGTGGTGCGTGGCCCGGTCGGTGGCCGGGCCGTCGCGGCTCGGAGCAGCATTGTGCTGGGCAGGTGTAGCATCAGCGTTCCCGTGTGTCGTGGGAGATAACTGTCACGTGTGTGTTCAAAGTGCAATAAAGGATTAAACTACTCCTTTCGGTTATGCATGACGCGTTTCTTTCAAAAGCCTCTCGACTTCTCATGTTTCACAGCTCTACAAACTACCACTCATTACTGTAGTCGGTATCGCACGTGATGTCCAGCATCACCCGCAGCCTGTGGGCTTCGCTTAGGGGTTTGTCTGCCTCTTCCACCCCCTCTCCCCTGATCCCTTCTGTGGCCGTTTTGGACATAGCCGACACCTTCCCCCGGGCCGGGTTCAGGAGGCCTTTGCTCCAGCAGCCGAGGTGCAGAGTCCCTCAGCTGCACCAAGGCCGCCTCCTTCCCTCATGGCGCGGCCTTCTCCAGCTGCGTCCCTGGCTGGGCCGTTACCCGCGGGGCGCAAAGCCGGCGGCGGAGCGG